CCTGCAACCATACATTCCACTGGGTTTGCTATGGTTTGCTCCTAGTACATTTTAGATATTTTAGGAACTTACGTCATGTTGAGCTGTGCTCCCATGAAATGGAATCCATCCGACGAAGCCCTCGGGCCCGGACATGGCCCCTCATAGCTTGGTGCCCTAAGTTTTTTGCATCACCTATATGAACTTCAAACATTGCACTCATCACGAAATACCTCTGCACATGAACAAAGGACTGGCCCTGCTCCAAGGATCGAAGGTGTGGGAAGTCAATTTGAGGTGACCTTCCTGGCAACACAAACAAGGATAACATTTACGGTGTACATGCAATAAACGGACTCGTTCAGGGGCACCCTCTGGTGAATGTGCGTGTACATTTCCTCACTGCATATAGATACACCGCAATGATAAAATGGTATACCTTCAAGCATGCATGGCTCATGTTGCAAAATGCACCTCTTCTCCGCCCATGCTGACTGCTAGCCCCGCCACTCTGCGCACGCATCTGCTTCATAGCGGGAGCCTCCAGCGTCTGCTGCGCCTGCAAAGCCCTCTGATACTGCTGAAACTGGAGCAGTTGCTGCTGCTGCTGCTGCTGAAGGTCGTACTGCGACATGCGGGACATCTGCTGCAGCCTCAGCTGGGCATGTCGACCAAGTCACCAAACCATGGCATGTGCATGTCGAGAAGAGCGGGGAGTCATCAGCTGGACTCAAAGCTGATTGGTGCTTCAAGAGCTTCATTCCAATCAAAACGGCACGCAAGCTAACTACTCTCAGAATTGTTCGTACGTATGTTTTCACTGTTTGCATGTAGAATGTAGAAATGTGTGCCTTTAACTTTAACTGCTATTAAAAGAATGTGTATATAGTAATACAAACCTAAACCAATATTAATATAATGCATATCATTTCATATCATTTGTTTGATTTATTTTCGAAAGCGTCTCCAACCCAAAGAACAACACTCTGACGCACGCCTTGCCGCCCCCCAAAGAACGCAAACACTTGCGGAAAGGGCATCAAAGTCGGGTTCAACAGCTTCGTACCCTACTGGTTGGTTAACCAGAGTCTGTTCATTCTTTTCTGACCGCATTTTGCGTCTTGGTGTATTTGATGCCTTAGCCCTGGCGTGCCAAACCTAGCAGCTGAAGTTGCTGGATCTGCTGCAACTGATGCGCCATGTGATCCCCCAGTTGCTCCTGCTACGGCCATGCGCCGACTCGTGACACGGCTGCACGGCTCACCCCGAGAGGTGTCAAACCTTGGGGATCAATTGAGATGACTCATCAACCCCGTTGGCCTTGGTCCGTTTTCAGGCTGCTGGGCATTTCCTTGGTGACTCCTCACCCATGGAGGCGAGCATAGTCAGTTGCTGACGCTTCTGCTGCGTTTTTAGGCGCAGTCAGCTCCAGATTATGGTTGAAATGGGCCGTTGGAGACGTCAATCATTTGGTACCCGGTGGGCCTCTCAAAGCCAGTGGGGCTGCCCTGCCCTCATTTCACAAGAAAATGACCAAACACACCTTACTCTTACCGTGCCCAATCGATCCGATCGCCATCTGCAGGCCGACTGATCACCCACAAATACCTCTCAAGAACTGATCAAGAAGCATTGGGAACACAATCGATCGACCTCGCGTGGCTGCCATCCATGTTAGCATTTATGTCCCACTGGCTGTCCCACCACCCCGCCCTCCCCCGGTGGCTCACCCGGCTCTCGGTGTCCCACTCGAAGTCCAGGGTGCTGGAGCGTGCCGGCTCCTGACGGATAGGCGGATCCAGCTGCGATCATTCGCGCATATAGGCATTTCATAATGTTTCCGTCATAGTCTAGACTGCAGGAGTCTGCAAGTAAACAATGATCAAGTTCAGCGGTGTTTAGACTTGAGGGCTGACTGTGTTTCTCCGGTCCATGCTGCGAGTCCTTCTTGACTGTTGGATCACTGCATCGATTGTGGGGCGATGCGAGCCCTCAAGATCTATAGCAATTCAATATCGTTGTCCTCCAAGTCCTGCCCAAATCTAGTTGACCATAACCGCCAACCCTTCACACATGCGCTGGAACAAAACCCATCGATTTACCTCGTTCTTCAGACCGACCACAGGCCGACCACACCTACGAAGACACCGGAAGCCACCGCCGGGCCGGAAGCCGCCGCGGAGTGTCCTTCGGATCCGTCGAAGGTTCGCCCTTCTTCTTTCGGCCCGCATGGAGGTGGCAGAAGTCCTCAGTGCAGCAGAAGTCCCACATGTCGCAAGGGAGGTGTCCTGAATTCGTTTCCCATGTCAACATGAATTCCATCCAAAATAAGTTTGAATTTGTAAAGAACACTTACCTTCAGGGGCTGGGAGATTGGCATGTATAAAATACTTTTCCAGCCTCATGCCCATTCCCCTCCTTTCCCTCACCAGCCAGCCCACCCTGCAATCCGCCAACAGTGCCCTGCCAGTCCCTCCAAGGCGCACACAGCCAAGCCTTCTTGCAGCGGCCGGGCACACGCTCGAACATGCACGGCCTGGCGTTTGGCCGCGCGGCCACAGAACGATGCGGAGCTGATCACTCGGTCGGAGCAAATCTGGCGGTGAAAGGAGATTGCTGAATGTCTTCTGCATAGTTCAAATTGATTTGCATAGGTCTTCCGGCATTGAGCGGCAAGGGATCAGGGACTGATTGTCCAACCAAACGTTTGGCAACCACTGGCTCAGGTGGCTCACTCTTGATGCACTTGATCAGCAAGATTGGTACAGTAAATCAAAAGTACTCAAACAGGTCGAGCAAGCAATCGGTAAAAATATACAAAAGGGCAGACCAAGAATCAGAGCTACACAATTACACAGTAGAAGTTGCAATACAGTAGCACCAGGCGCGGCAACTCGGGCCTAGAACCTCACTTACATCACCTCTCGCTTGCCAAAGCTCGCCCCTTCTCACAGTCGGGCCCACTCAAAAAATTACACAGCAATGAGCAGGTCCCAAAACCCCCGACTAAATGTTGAAGGCCAATGTTCGACGCAACGAAGTTCGCCAATTACACCAGCATTGACCCCAAACAGCAGCGGCAGTCGGAGTTTTCCTTTTGGGCCGACCCATTCCTGGCGCCAAGTCTCCGCCCAGCATCCAGACACGCCATGGGAGGGAAGACGAAGGAAGACAAAGCAAAACCATCTCAGCCCAGTATCCAGACATGCTATGGGAGACAAGGGGAGACAAAGGGAGACAAAGCAAGATCATCCCAGCCCAGCATCCAGACATGCCATGGGAGACAAGGGGAGACAAGGAGAGACAAGGCAAAGTGATCTCAGCCCAGCATCCAGACAGACAAGGGGAGACAAGGGGAGACAAAGGGCGGAAATCATCTTGGCCCAGCATCGTTTCTATGCAAGAATTGAGAACCCCTCACAGCAAAGCTGTTTGGGCAAAAAAGAGGTCAAATCGCATCCCCTTCCCATGGCCATCCGTTCCAAACTGGTCCAGTTTGGCCCGGACATGCCTGCAAGGTGCTTCCGTCTGGCAGCTGTGCAACAAGGAGCCAAAGGAGCGCACCTGAAGGGACGTACGCACAGCTCGCACAGGGAGGTTGGGGAGATCCCTTCCACTCCCTGAAATCATCATGGAAGTGGACGTCATGGTCCCGAAAGGAGGACCATGTTCCGAAGACCAAAGAGGTGGGAACCACTTCCATCTGAATGACACCCTTCAGGGCAACCACCTGGCTTTTGCCCCAAACTACGCCAAGCCCTAGGGGCTATACTTCCCGCTTCGAGAAGGGCCCAGGGCTGGCACTATGCCAGCCCTGGACTCAAGAGGCGAACCGTCCAAAAGAAAAAGGCCCCTCGGTGTCCACTCGGGTGTCGTGATGGGCGCAACATGCTGAGTCTGAAAACCCCCGCTCCACCTGGACACCTTCCCCCCCATCTCTCTCCCTCGAGAGCATCACTCCGCCTGCAGCTGGGGCCGGTCCTGCGCCTTCAAGCGCAGCACGTCTGAGACCTCAGCGCCATCGATCCAAGAGGTCGCTCCCTTCCGCAGCTGTGGATCCAGGAGCCGGTTTTGAGTCCCATCGAGTGAGTGGATGTTCTGGGCACCCCTTTGTGACTCCTGGACGTGTTGTTCTGTTTCTCCGCTAGGCCTAGGCGAAAAGCCCCGAAAGAAAAAACAAAAACCTCCCGTGCCCTGTGAAAGACATTGAAGGACATCACATCCGAATTGAAGGACCATTGAAGGACAGTTGAAGAGTCCAGGCATCACATGGAGAAGGTGAACTGAACCTTGCGAAGTAGGTTTTGGGGTCTGAGATTATTCTGCCCTGGCCCATCATCCATCAAAACATATCAAAACATTGAAACATCGACTGCCGTCAGTTGACAGCATTGAACGCACTGAAGCAGAGCCGGCCAATCTGAATCCGCTAGACTTGGTCCGCCGAGTCCGCTGTTTCAGCACTGAAAGCCCAGCGCAACGAATGGGCGCCCGCGCTGAGAGATGGCTGGAGCGGCTTTGCACAGCCAAGTGCTGCTCGTCGATCCAAACGTTCTGTTTTCAAAGCCCGAGGTCGCGAGCTTGGGCAGGTCGTGATGAGGGAAAAAAGATCAGGTGATGAGAAGATGACCCGCCCCAAGCGAGAAAATGCACATCTACAATTCGATAAACCACCTGAAGCCTTAAACCTTCACTGATTCAGTGGTTGCTCCTGCTTGAGGAGGCCGTCAAACCAGCCAAAAGCAAAATGGGAGGTGGGGAACATTGGGAAATATTGGGAAATCACCTGGAGTCTTCAGCAAAGCTAAGGTGGACCAACGACTGACTGACCACCTCAAAGTCTACGCATTTCATGGTTTGAAGTGGTGGGGGATTTGTTATCGACTGCTGCTGTCAGGGGGGGATCTCGACCCTCCAGCTCTCAACTGTCAGCTTGATCCTCTCTGCACCCTCCAGCCTCGAAGGACAACGGCAGAACCTGAGCGAACTCGCAGCTTCCACCGACGGAAACGCGGACGGCCACCTCTGATGGTGGTCCCAGGATCAGAACTCACATGTGCCCGATCCAAACATGGGCGCAACAACTTGTTGGACCAAACACGGCAGATCCAGCGCTCCTTGGGCCCCGTGGCAGCGTGCTGGGTGGGGCCCACCACGATCTCCACCTCCTCTGCTTGGAACTGCAGCTCCGCCTAGGAACTGCAGGGGTCGAGTTCATGGCTCGGAGCCGCAGGACGTTCATGGCACGGTCCAGGAACGCCAGCTCTTTCTATTGTATAGTTTAAGGAACCGCAACTGGCCGTCTCTCAACAAAGGTTAGGTGCAAAACGCAACTCAAGCACTGAACGCAAAAGAAATGTCAACAATTGGAAAGGCGCTAGGAAAGGGCAAAGTTATCCAAAAAGACAGACTTAAGGAATTCAGGTGTTGTAACTACCTGTGGGCCTGTGGGTCACGAAACCGCATATCGTCATAGCGGTTCAATCATTTGCATATATATATATACATCATTGATCATCATTGTGCATATATAACACATACACATGTGTCTGTACATAGATCTTATTTCTATAGTCATACGAATTGCATGCATACATCTTGGTTTGAGAGCATGTTCTTGCACGTGGCTGGCTTGCCATCCAGCCTGCTTGATGTCCAGAATTCCTGTCGTTTTCCCCCTCTTGTCCCACCGAAGGAAAGACCTCCTCTCTCCGCTGAAGACTTGGCCTCGGAATCGACCGGGGTGACCTCCAGCGAGAGCTCCTGCATGCTCTTCGGGCCTAGGGCAGCGCTCGAGCGACGAAAGTGAAGACAGCGCAGGCCCATCCGTCGTCCCCGAAAAAGACCGTCCGTGCTTTCGGTCGCGGTAGGTTGGTAGCAAGTGCAAGAAAGTACCCAGGATCTGCCAAGAGTCTGACAGAAAACTGCTGATCTTGGTTTTCATTGTTTTTCAAGGACGCCAGCAGCTAGGATGAGCTACAAGGCCTCCTCCGCCAGACCTCCTGAGAGAAATTTGATGAAAAGTTACCGAAGCCACCCCATCAAAGACCACATGCCAAGATCACATGGAAACAAGACCACAAATATTCCAAGGAAACAAGACCACATGCCAAGATCCCCCTCCACATGAACCGTGCTGTGACATGTCGTAGCTTGCCCTGTTCCAAACAAGAAACGACACCTATCCCCCTTCTACTTTTGCATGTGCATTCTGCTTTTGCCGGACTTGTAGCAGACTTTTCCCAGCAGCCCTTCTGGGCAAATCCTGGCAGGCTGACATGTTCCCATCATTCCACCGCATCCCTCAGTCAAGACACTGCTTGGGCTCACTACCTGTGGCGCGCTCCGCTCCACGCCCTGCGAGCCCTGATGGCCTTGCCGCTCGCCTCGCTCCGCTGCGGAGGCGATGCGCCGGAGTGCCTTCGAAGGAGGCCTCAGTCCGCTGGAGCAGGACACGGGGAGGATTTTCAATGATTCTTGTTGAAGGATGCCCCTTGACCAGACGACTGGAGGCTTTTCGCAGGAAAGAACCTGAAGGCGATGTCCGACCGGCTCCGGCTCTCTAAAGATGCCAAAGCGCTAAAAACGCCCGGCTCTCAATCCCATGGAGGTCGGTCCAGTCTCTTTTTAAAAAGTGAAGGCGGACGTTTCTTTTCTGGATGTTTGTGTGTTTTTCCGCGTCTTTTGGGGGAAAGTATTTTTCCGGCGGGGCTTTTCAAACGGTGTCATTAGAGAATGAGAAGCAACATATATATATATATATAGCATTTCTCCACCCGTCTCTGTCCTCCTTTCCCTTTGAATTGGTATAGGG